GATCTTGTCAAAAAAGTCCTCAGATGTGCTGCATATTTCAACCCACACAGGAACTAGCTCGAAATGTCAGATGAGAACTATGTTTAAGCAAATATTAATTTCTTCACTAGCAGATTTCAAATTTTCAGTCTTATCTCAAGAATGGTTTGTCCCTAGACTACTTAATTTTCTTGATCCCCAAACATACCTTTTATCTTTAAAAAGATCATTGCCTAAATATGTTTCCTCTTTCTCCTCTTAATAACCTTATTAATATGTAATTTATCCAAAACAGTGACCCATTAAGTGTCCAGTTTGACAAGATTCAGTAACCAGCACCACACTGCAGTTTCAGAATTCCGGCCCTTCACTTCTGCTAATCATAGTCACTCCCCACTCCTAGATCCACCCAACCTTTGTCTCTGTGAGTTTGCCTTTTCTAGACGTTTCATATAAATAAAACATCACAACACATAGTCTTTTTTTTCCAGCATTTTTCATCTAGCATGCTTTTGAGGTTCACCCGACAACATTTTGTCCTTTTTTAAAATGGCCGACTAGTATTTAGGCCATTGTTAACGTATCAGATTTTTTTCAAAAATTTGATGAATCATTGATTTGTCTCCAGTTTTTGACTCTATCTTTGCTATTGACATTTGAATATAAGACTTTTTATGGACATATGTTTTCATTTCTCTCAATTAAATGCCAGGGAGTAAAATCCTTGGATCCTGTGGTAAATATATGCTCCATCTTCTAAAAAACAAAATCTACCAAACTTTAAATTGTGAAGGAAAGCATTTATTTCTTACTTTCAAGGCTGTATTTGCATGAAATCACCCAGTCTAAATGAATAAATACAAATTCTAAGCATCATTTAGCAAAGGTTTTAGAAATAGAATAATGGGCAATAAAAGTAATAGAACCAAAGAAATATTCTTAAATCCTATTCCATTTCAGCAAAAGCCCAAGGGGAGGGGTTTTCCTCAGGACTATGCTGACAGAGGAAAAGTACAGAATCACCACTGGCTCTCAGTTCCTTTTCTCCCCTCCTTATCTCTTGCTCCTGTGGTCTGGGGCAGCAGGTGCCTCTTTCAGATGTCTTAGGCAAAGGATGCAGCTTTGGCTTCTCCAGAAGATATGGGGATGGAGAGATCCTGGATGCACAGGCCTTGCTAGTCTCATTCCCACAAGGTGGGTGGATGCTGCTATAGATGCTTCATCTGTAGGGTACATTGTGGGCTTCCTCAGGCTCTTCCAGCAGCCTTCCAAATACCTGAAAGTGACAGACCAGGCTTCCCCTGACATTGTAGTAACTGTGGATTCTTGATGTCTGGGATCAGAAAAGCAGCGCATCTCTTCCCTGGTAGTTTGAAATGATAAGGCCATGGCTCCAGAGAAAGAAGAGATTTAAAAAAAATTTTTCTCCTACCATCCAGTTTTAGGATCGTAATTAAAATTTTAGCCTTTAAATTCAAGACTTAAAACCTTTAATTTTCTATTTTTGTCTGACAGGATCACTGTGAGGATGAATTGGAATGATGATAGAGTGCACACAACATAAACCCTTAGATGGCAGAGACCTCTGTGTGGATCCCAAAAGCCTAGAACTGTGCCTGTCATATAGTACACAGTCAATGAATATTTAGAGACTAAGTAAAGCATTTATATAATGCCTGGAGATAACACTCATGCATTCCATCTTTTACTTACTCTTTAGTAAGCACTCAATATATATCTATCCAGAGCTGAGTAGAGCTACCAGGTATCAGAGTAGCGGTTTAAGACAATAAGCCAAAATGACCTAAGCAACCAAGACTTTAATCCCTTGCTGTGATAGCATAAACAATAGGTTACATGGGGCAAAATACTGACTTCAGGCTTCCATTTTCCATAAGGAATGACACCAGTGAAGATCAAATGGATCAGCACAGACATGGGGAACTGTCTAGCAAAGGATGGAGTCCCAAACAAAAGACTCCTGCCTTCTTATGGAAGTAGGATATCATGGTTCAGATCTAAAATACATATGATCCCAGTGTCTCATGTGTTCAGAAGTGGGACTTTTGGAAGGAGATTGGATCATGAGGGCATTGTACTCATCAGTGGAATGTGTTGTTAAGAGGTGGGCCCTGATTGGAGGTGAGTCATTGAGGTGTGGCTTAGAAGACTGCATTCCTGTCCCTAGCTCCTCTCTCTCTCTCTCTCTCTCTCTCTCTCTCTCTCTCTCTCTCTCTCTCTCTCCTGGCTACCACGGATTGAGCAGCTTTTGTCTTCAAGGCCCTTCCACCCCATCCTTTCTGCTTTCAAGGCAGCCAGCCATGGACTGAACTCAGGGAACAAAATAAACTTCTCCTTTTTTAAGTTTTGGATGTTGGGTATTTTGTCCCAGGGATGGAAAAGTGACCAATACATAGGGGGCAGGCACTGGATAGAGTCAGAGTGCGAACAGCACTTTTTAAGGTCCTTGTTCCCCTCCCATTGGAAGCTCCCAGAAGAGGCACTGGAGGAGGCATCCACTGGCAACCTCAGTAAGTTGCCAGTGTTCAGGTCACACACATGTTTTTGACTAGGAACCAAACTCCTCCATGTTGCCACTAAAGTGTAGATGTGGCCTCTTCCATCACAAAAGCATTGAGTAGGCAGACCAGAAACAAGTAAATGAATAAATGCACAGTTGCAGCTTACAATGAACACCCTGAAGGTGGTGGTGGTGAGGGGGACCGGTGCCCAGGGAAAGATAAGGATAAGGTGTTTTACAGTGGTTTGAGCATTTCAGCAAGTATCCTCAGAGGGGAAGTCTGAGCTGAAAACCAAGGATGAGAAGTAGCTAGCTGCACAAAGAGCAGAGGGAAGAGGGTGGGAGAGGAAGAACACATACACTAAGTGAAGGTCAGTTCATTCCACCCTATGCAAGATCAGACTTTAATTCTACATGCCATGCTTGAGGGCCAATGTGACTTACACCGTGGTTCATCCAAATCTGTGTAATCACCACTTTATAAGAATTTTTCCTTTGATGTACAACACTGGTGCATCCAATTGAATCTTATCTGTGGTTATGCAGATCTCATATACATATGAGTCAGATGTTCCCAGGATCTCAAAACTCTTGTTAAATTGGAATGAACTCACATCACATAGCTATATGAGGAATACTAAAAGGAAAAGTTGAGCTGAATCCCCTTAGGGTTCTCAATCCCTCTCTCACTTCTAGAAATTGGACCGGGTATAGACATCATGATTACTATGGACGTAAGGGAAAAAAGGTGGGTGGGTGGCTGTTTTCCTCACCTGTGGAAGTCAGTGGAAGTTTTTCAAGTTCCCTGTCCTCCTCAGGCCATCTCTGTGAGCCTTTGATACAGAGATCATTGTGGAGAATCAGCTGGACCTTCCAGTATTCCTGGAAAGCCATCAACACCTGGGAAAGAAAAACTAGCAGTTATTATAAGTCTGATTTTCACCCAAGATTATTTATCTTGTTTCAAAACTCCATTCCACTTCATGATTATTGTAAATGGTCAGTTCAATAAAGCAAATCTATTTCATAAAGTCTTAGTATTTTGCACCCAAATTTTCAAAATGTTTTCCAGAGCTCTGCTTGAACAAGGTTGAACTGAGATATAGAACTGTCTATATTTTTGAATTATTTGCTTTTACAAAATAAAAAGAAAATAATGCTGAGAAAGGAGAATAAATTTTGAAACAAGACAGACATGAGTTCTAATCCTGAGTCCGCACCTTCCTTGCTCTGATAATTCAGGCAATTTCCCTGCCACCCTGACCTTCAGATCTGCATTAACTGGACTGGTTACCTCTCACAGGAATATTGTGAAGAAGTATGTATGTGTTTAATGCATGATAGCTATTTTTATAAATGAAGTAGTTCACTTGGGACTCAAACTATACTGAATTCATCACTCTTCAAAAGTTGAGGCACCAAGTTGAATTTTGGGAAGCCCAGATGACAGTTTTCTGGAATTTCATTCAACTCTCTTCTTCTCCGAGGTACGTGGTTGGGAGATTGAAGTTTAGAAAAGGAAAAGCAACGTAAAAGTCCACAGACGGCCCCTTATTAGGCCCCTTATTAGGCCCCTTATTAGGCAGTGCAGGGTGAAGTGCCATTTGGGGAGCTGAAGGGTCCAAGATAAGCACAGCACTTTTCTCTCCCCCTGAGAAGCCACCTTAGGGCCTTTCCATGTCTTGCCTGGGGCCATGAGGTCAGAGGAATCACAGCAGAGTGCCCACTTAGTACCTGAACTGTTCTGATCAAATTCTACCTTTGCCATGTATTTCATGTGAGCTTGACCAGGTTGCTGAAGCAACCTGTGTCTCACCTTCCAGTTTTTTAAACAAGGATTTGAGATAATTAACATTTTCTACCCTCAAGGGTTGTTTTGAGAAATAATTAAATTAGTTAATATATATGCCTCTAATATTATCAGGCCATGGGTAAGTGCTATTATTGTTGCAAGCATAAAATTTTCCTCCAGTGTGAATCTGGAGTATCCCCCATTATAGTTTTTAACTTTCTAAATCTAAAATTTACAGAAAAAAGCATTTTAGTAGCAATCTTTATCACACGTCCCAAGAAACCGAAATTTCAATTATGGTTGACAAACAGCAGACACAGATGGAGGCAAGAGGTGCACAGCAAGGAGCAGATCTGCCAGCAGTGGGGAACTGACTGACCCACGTTTCCATGCAGCACAGCCAAGGAGATGTCAGGGTTAATTATTGTAAACCAGCTGGTGGTTTAAATCCAATTTTAAATGGTCTGGATGTTTATGAAACCTGGATTTTTAATTTGTCTTTGAAAAAGTGCTATCTCAATTTTAAAAATCCCCCTGAGCTCTGTGACTCATATCATCAGAAATCTGACCTTTCAGTGCAAAAGGGAAAAACATCTACATTGTTACCGTGACAACAAAAGGTAAGCAGGATGCTTTGAGCTCTAGTGCTTCTGCTATAAATAATCCATCTTTGGCCAGAGAAATATAATGTGAGCATGAAGGGGAGTAAGCTGGGCTGGCTATGAGGAGAGTCTGCACTTTGGGAGCTCATTTTAATCACCGTTTTTAGAAGTCATTCCCAGAGACGCTTTGGCCGCAATTAACCAATAAAGGAGTAAGAGGGAATTAATTCAATTTCTAAAAATTGGAATTTATACAAATGAATAATGTTGTTTTTTTATGTGAGAAATTTCTTTATACTTATTTGTACCATTTTCTAAACTCTGCTGTTTTTCTTTGCAATATTGATTATCTGGTTTCCCAACAACCTCTAAGATAGAACAAGGGAAGCCAGCAATGAACTTTGGTCCCTCAGCCATGATCTAGGTGAGTTACCATGTACAGCAGCAGCAAAGGACCGGCAATAAAGTAAGATGACTTTTAAGACATTCTGGATTATTTTTTTAAAATCCAAGTCCTCTTTTGGTTGAAGGTAACAAAATATTACTGAATTTATTTTTTTTAAGCCAGCCATACTCATGGATAGGGTTAAGATTTATGACTGTGATTATCTCTTTGCTTGCTGACGTAAATTAGTCTTCTGGGAAGTCCAAGTTATTTCTCAATAAGCTTTAATGGTCTGTGAGTCAGAGTAGGTGCTGCTGATAATGAATCTAGCAGGATTTATAGGAAGGCAACTGATAAATTGGAGGACATATCCATCCAATGGCCTTTGGAAATAGTTCATAAAAATATTTCCTGAGTAAGAAACTTTGCTCTGGTAAATTCGAGCTGCTTTTCAGTAAATACAATTCACCCAGGAAAGTTTCCTAAAGTAACCTTCCAGTTCAATTGGATTCTCCATGATTATGAATGATTCTTATTGTGGCACTGGGGTTAGAAGGTGCATGATCAGACCTAAGTGAGAAAAGAAGGGTTACTTGATTAATTTTTTCCGAATGATTATGTTTCTTTCTTAAATTCCTACTGTAGATGATTATAGGGAAACTGCTCTAGAATGGAACACACTTGAGAGCCATAACAATCAAGTGCAGCATTTTAATGAAAACCTCCAAACAAGCCAATTGCAAAAAGGCAGTTTGAGACAGAGATATTGAAAATGGACTGTATATTAACTAATGCATGGCATGATTATTAATTGTGATAATAGCATTGTGGTGGGATACAGCATTGTGACAATGGTTGAGATTGCCTAAACTTTTTTGACATGCATACTAAAATCTATAGGAGGAAAATGAAATTATGTCTGAGATTTGCTATGAAATATTTTACCACAAAAAGAGGTTTGGGTTATACAGGAAACAAGAATGACAAAAATCCAGAGTGTGAGTGATAAATATTTAGGGATTCCTTATACCATTTCATTCTGTGTATGTTTGAAAATATTCATAATTTTAAAGATGTATCTTTCAGCCTAAAGCAGTCCGTCTCTCCTCTTTTCCAGGACAGTGCTTTGGGAGGAATAACCAATGTATCTTCTTGGAGCAGTGGCGGTATAGAGTCTGAGCCTTATGGAGTTCTCTGGGTCCTTGCTGGGTATGCTTCTGAAGGGTCTGAAACGTATGCAATTGAAATAGGTTGGCCCATCATGACTGAAGCACCATGGTTTCTTCTTATCCCATTGTCTGTTATCTCTGTTTTTGTTAATGCTGCTGTTGCTTTGAGACAGCAACATTTCCTGATAGTTTCCTGGTCTGGGTGATCTAGTTAAGTCACATTTTGCCTTCCACAGTGACCTGTCCTGTCTTCCAGGTTCATCAGCTGGTATGCTTGGCTATTTTTGGATGCCATCCATGGAGAATCGATGAATAGAGAGGACAGTGTATAATATTTCCAGTATGTACTTTTATCAGCCAAATGTTCACTCCTCTTAAGGCCCTCATAGAATATATTGACTCAGAGCCAAACACTGGGCTTCTGAGAGAAGCAAATAGTCTTTCCAGAATGAGCCTAAAGGAAGACAGGTCAAGACTTTTGGTCTAAAATGATCCTAGATTTAGCTGCATACTTCTCTCTCAGCCCCAGAATCTTAGGCTCTGGAGTGAGAGGAAAGCAAAGACTTTCATGTCTAACCTCTTGCTCTCCTCTTCCTTTTCTGCCCAGCCTGGTCACTTGGCACAAACAAAACCTTCCCAAAAGAGCGTGGCACCTAAAGCCCTATGAGACGATCTCATCTGAGTCTGTGTTCATTGTCTGAATTTCACAAAAAGAAAAGCACCGAAGTGAGAACAGAGGTCTAAGTTCGTTTTGTTTACTGTTGTGTCCCTTGCTCCTGGAACAGAATTTGGCACCATTAGATGCTCAGTATATAAAAGTGAAAGTCAATAAACAGTATTGTGCACCATTTTCCATAGTACTTACTTTGAAGATTCACCTGGTTAACTGAAAATATTAATGTCAGTCTTTCCCACTAAAGCTATTTTTGAAACTTGCCTAATAAAATGAACTTGAATGCTAGGTAAACCTAAAACTCCCAATTCTTACCTTGAACTTCTGATTCTATATGTACAAGATGGGAATTACATTCATGTTTGACTCTTCTCAGGAGGAGTCTGCTATCATTAAACAATTTTGGAAAACACAGCTCTAAAACATAAGATCTAAAAGGATAGCTACCCAATCTGACTTTTAACATCAGAGAAACGTGGCACATAGTAGGACATCAATACATTTTTATTGAATAAAGGAACACATGCTAGTCTCTTTTTGGTTTTGTATTCTCTTTTCAATAACAAGACAGAAGAATGTTTCTAAAAGACTGGATGGATTAACTAATGAAAAACCACCACTTTACTGTCCACGGTCATATTATATTTCAAACTTTGTGGGTGCAGTGTAGTTTTTTCCCCTACCTCATTAACAAGAGACACAGGATATGGCTATCAAGAAATCAGTCATGTTCTATCCCAGATCTGAAGTAAAAAATATATTTACTAAACCATAACAATTAAATATTAATATGAATAGGAAGCAGAAAATCTGACATGTTTAGATATCAAGAACATAAACTAAGACTTTTTTCAGTCTTATTCTGAAAACATTCAGTGGATAAGTAGATGGAATACATAAAAGCCATCATCTCCGTTACCATTGTGCTACTTTTGAACTTCAGATCTAAACACTGGGCTCCATATGCAGGGAGAAAACCTGAAACCACAGAACAATCATCAGACTAGGACAGAAAATCTGGGTCCTGACCCTGACTTGCTTGGCTCCTGATGAGTTCTGTGGCTGTATCAAGTTATGCCTCCTCTTTCAGCCTGGTGAGTTTCCTCAAGGGTTAAAAAAAAGAGATAAAATTAGTTTGTTTCTGGGATTTATTGAAGTTTTCACATCACATAGTTTTTATTCATGGGTGAAGCACTGCTCCAGAAATTGGGTCTGTGGTCAACAAGGAACAAAACAGACAAACGCCTTTGTAGAATCTGTAATATAACAGGAGAAGACAATGAAAAATAAAGAAATTTAGATAGATTAAAAAGATCAATCATATGGATAGGTAGATAGATAGATAGATGAGATAGATGTTATAGAGAAAAATAAGGCGGAGAAAAGAACATGGGATAGCAATGTTAAATAAGACAAGCAAAGAAATCTCCTTTGAGGTTTGAGTAAAGAGCTTTTGCATAGGAAAACACAGAATTCCCTCATCAAGTCCATAGGGCAAGGCTGTAACGAAATGAACAAAACTAAAACTGAAAGCAGTGGAGAAAATATAAACTCTACTTTTCTGACGAGCCACAGAAAAGCAAACTGGTCAACTGATAAGGCTGGAGAATATAAAAGTTACTGGACTCCACCATCTCTAGCATGTAAGAATGGTGTCCAGTGTTGCACATCTCTCCCTTCCAAGTCAAACTGAAAATCTGGTTTTTATGTAAAAAGTCCTGAGTTTTAAAAACTGTTAGATTCTTAAGGCTGCCATAACAAAATATCACAAACCAGGTAGTTTAAAAACAACAGAGCTTACTCTCAGAGTTCCAGAGGCTAGAAGCCCCGAGTCCAGATGTTAGTAGGACCATACTTTCTCTGAGACCCTGGATAAAATTCTTCCTCCCCCGTCTCTGGCTTCTGGTGATGATGGCCAGCCATCCCTGCTGCTCCTCACTTCTTAGAAGCATGAATCCAATCTACTCTTCAGTCCTCACAGAGCATTCTCACTGAGTGGAGCTGATTGTGTCTCTTCTCCTCTTCTTATAAGGACCCCAAGGGACACCCTGCCCACTATGCGATCATCTTCACTAAGTACAACTGCGCCAACCTTGTTTCCACCCAGGTCACATTCTGAGGTATGGAGGACTGGAAAATTATACATATACATAAAACTTATACACAACACAATCCAACCCATAATAACTATCAATTAATTTGTACTTTTTCGTTCTGCCCTTGAAAACATTTTGTAGGGCAAAGAAATCATGCATGTGGCTCACAGATTCTTTGATTGTGAGTTCTGGGCCAGGGGTTGAGGGGTCTGAAAAAGCTTGATGAGAGTAGGCATGGCTCTAGCTGTTCATACCTTCATCCAGAGTGTTTACTGAAACAAGTCAATGAGTCAGTGGACAGTGATATCTCATTATGTCCCCAGGTATCTGGAAGGGGATTCTATTACTAAAGAGAAACAACTCCAGGTTGCTTGTAATTGATCGAACTATATTCAAAGTTCCATATTTTCGGCAGGCTTCTACTCAGAATTGAACATAACCATGTAAAATCATAACCAGTCTACTTCTCCCCAACACACACACAGACACACACACACACACACACACACACACACACACACACCCCTAACCTTGTATTTCCCATCCCCTTTCCTCTGTCCTTGATCTCCCTGTATCATGAGAATTATGCTCATGTTTGAGGCACTGCCCAGCCAGTTTGTTCTGTTTGAGCTGATTCTTGAATGTCAATCCTTCTCTTTTTTTGTGATAGCAATTACCTGTGGCTTATCCATTACCCAATGTTCCCTTTCCTTAAAGACAGAAACCCAGGGTAATATAGCTGGCAGAAAAATAACACTTGGAAGCTTAGGTTGTCAACAGGAATAGCTAATTAGGTATAGGTAGTAGTCAGGGGGCAAGGCTTCTGGAGAGCTTTTTGTCCTGACCCCTAGCCTGTTTCCTGCTGGATAGGTGTGAGAACTGGAACAGCAGCAGATATTTGGACCATAAAGTGATTCTTAGAGTGGAATCTACACACTAAGAATGGTAGGATAGAAAGACCAATGTTTAGCTTCCTAGTAATGCCTTAGAGCCACAGTATAGTGTCAGTATAAGAGTTACTTCCAGATTTCTTTTACGAGAGAGAAAAAGCAACCCCTTAATTTGTTGAAGTCATAGTACAGGTAATGTTTGCTTTCTCCTAGACCACTCCTGCTCTTTTAAATTCCACTCTATATTTTAAGGAATGAAATTTCCCATGCTCCCAGCAAGATTCAGCTAATGGGCTGAATATTGAAGGGAATCTGGAGTGTTTCTCCCCATTGTCTGTTTCAGGAGGATCTGGCAGTGAATGACTGAGCAGTGCCCAGTGGACACCCTCCCCTCTCCATGGCCTATCTTGCTATCAGTTAGTTAGAACCTGCCTCGGTCCAGTCTGTATGTCAGTCTCACATAGTACTCTCCCTCTGTGGGTCTGAGGCTCTATGTCTCTTCTCTTTCATAGAGGTATCAGTCATACTGGATCAAGGGTCCATCCTACTCCAGTATGACTGCATCTTAACTACAGCTTCAACAACATTGTTTCCCAAGCAAACCAAGTACTTCTGTCAAGTAGTTTCAGCACCACTGTCTCCTCCCATCATCTCCCTGCCTAGTGGTCATGGGGCTTTCTCCAGTGGCTAATCATCAGATTTCCTCACTAAGCCAAGTAAAACTTGTCAACTCTTTCATTATCTGTAAAACAACTTCCTGTATATAATGCCCTGTGTTTGAAATATACAGCCTAGTTTCTGTTTTCTGCCTGCACCCTGAATGTCAGTCACTGTATTTACCCAGAGGAGGCATCTCGGTTTCTTCAGCTGAACAATGTCTGACTATTACATCTTCTTTCACAATTTATGAAGACAGAAGAGAGAAGCTTCTGGGAAGTCAAGGCTTTCAACAACTTGGTGAGATCCACAGGTCCTGGCCATTTATGGCTTCTACTCAACAGATTTAAAACTTCAGCACATTTTATTTCAGAAAACAAAACTGACAGATCTCTTATTTTGTCTTTGCTGACCAGGTGTTTATTGTATGCTTCCTTGACAATTATATCTCTGTCAACTCACTTTGTGGGGGTCAAACCACACAATGAACATCTTCTCGCTCAACTCTTGCCCTGTGAACAAAGTGGAAGGTGAGACTTTCTAGTTTCAGCACAACTGCACTTTCTGCTGTAGAGGCAGTCCATTCCTGCAGCATTTACTAAGTGTCTTCAACTTAACAGTTTAAATTCTTCCTCGGGCATCTGATCTACAGACTCCACAAATATCATCAGCTTATGCTCTTCAAGACCGGTTGCTCCAGAGAACAAGCTTCACTGATGTCCTTTTTCCTAAAATGGGATCCTGCCGTGTGTGTGCTAGAGATGAGAGATGAGATTTGGTGATGACAGGGTCCTCTCACCAGTTTCAGCATTGCACATCAACACTTTCCAACGTGTCCTAGAACCACTATGACCTTTTTTGAACTCTGCATTGAACAATACAAGGGTTTACAATACCCAGTCCTCACTTGTCTTCTGTAGGAAATCTCTCATGGAGTCACCGACAAGCTTTCACTTTGTAGCAGTGTTCCAGACTTCTACTCAGATATTCTCTCATCTTCTAGCCCCACACCACAAATCCAGTGTTTGGCCACCTCTTTATATGTTTCTCTCTTCATAAGAAGATACACCAAGTGCCTCAATAGCTCAGGCTAAATATACTTTTCCTACAGTAGTAGGGTTAGAGTTAGGGTTATTTCATTTGGTATGGCTACTTCCTGTATTCTAGTTTACTAATGCCTATACTTAATACTTGCATGGTTTAATCCATTGCAAAAATAAACTCAACTTTATTTATAAGTGCATATAAGCATGCAGAGAGTTCAGAGAATTGTTTATAGTATTTGTTATCTGTAGGAAGATTTCTCTTCAAGATATGCAGAACTGACCAGGGATGTACACTGGAAAGTTCTTTTTCTCTTTGTCTCTGGTATGGTCTAGGTCTAGAATGTCACCCCAAAGGCTTACTGTTCAAAGAGGAGTGTTTGGAAGGTGATTGGCTCATGAAGGTGCTGCAGCTGACTTGCTCTTAGAAGGTGGGGTTGGTTGAAGAGGTAACTGGGGTGTGACCTGGAAGGTTGTAT